GAATATTTTCTGCTTTAAATCCTATGATGATTTCTTTACCATCTATTCCTATAATAATAATAAGAGTTTTCATTGGTTCTCATTTGTTTAATGAGATTGCATTACTCCTACAACTAGAGATGGTTGCTTCAGTGTCTAGAAGTATATGAAAAGAATACAGTTTGTTTTTTTTAAAATAAAATTTTCCTTCAACAAAGGTCTAAAATCTTTTTAGAGATTTATTAGAAAATTTTATAAAATCTTTTTCATGTATTTTCTTCTAATGGTTTAGTATAAAAAGAAGACTTGTTTTCTTCTATTTTAGTTTTTTTAGAAGAAGATGTAGAATTTAAAACAAAATTTACAGAAAAATAATAAAAAGGTTATTACGACGAATACTATCTGTATCATCTTCTTGTTTAGAAAATGATGGTAAAACTAATTTTGGCTTAGAATTAGAGGATGGAGTAGGATTTTTAAAATATAAGTTTATTCCTGAAAAGAAGAATTCTAAAGAGTTAACTTTGCAATTTGTAAGTTTTTCTTCTGATGATTCTTCTAAAAGCCAACATGTTAGGATAGATAAGTCACTAAGATTTACTAATTTTGGTTTGATTTCATAATCGAATGCTTGTGGTTCAAACAATTTGATGATTTTAGAATCTATTTGTTTAATATATATGGTAGTAACATTTGTAAATTCATAAATAGTTGTCCAATTGATAGAAAGATTATGAGCTTGAAAATCAATGTTAGAATCTTTTGTTTTGATTCAAAGACATAAACATTTTTCTATTAATAGATTTCAAATAGAAATAAAATAATTTGGTTTAACTTTAAATAAAACTACTTCAATTGCTAAATTGGATTGGATTCTTCCGATTACAGTATTTACTGGGTTTGAAAACCTTTTATCCAGTAAAACAGCAAGAATAGGTATATCCTTACCAATAATAAATAAAGGTTTTATAACTATCATAATAATGCCAATATGTATATATTTAATCTTAGGATATTTTTTAAGAAAATAATTTATTTTTTGTTTTTAGAATAAAAGAATTTCAATTGATCCTTGTTTAGAATCATTTGCAATAGAATCACCACATACTTTTTCTATATGGCATTTATACCATGGTTGAAATGTTTTGAAAAAACTAGTTTGATAAACTTCATCTTTTTTGATGAGTTGTAAACTTTTCAAAGTTTCTTTAGAAATGGTATGAGTTTTTCTCATAACATTTTTTAAAGAAGTCATTAGTTCTGCTAATACTAGGTTAGTAACAGTAGAACTTTTCGATATTGTATTTGTGTTAGATACAGTATCATTCATAAAAATATATTCTATTTCATTGTCGAAACTATCATAAAAAAATATTTCATAAAACATTTCATCATCTGATAATTTTTTTGCAAAACAGATTTGAAGATCCTTTTGATTAAGGGTTTTGATCATTTTTCTAGCATTTTTTCCTTTTTTAGGATAATTAGGTGCTATATGATCTTCTTCATCACAAATAAAATATTTGCATTTTTTAGGTTTAGAAGTTTTTCTTCTAATAGCAAATTTTCCTTTTTTAGGATTTTTGCTTCTCTGAGGTTTCCATTTTTTCAAAATATTTTTTTTCAAGGATTTTTTTTTTTTATAATTTTTAGTTGTTTTGTTACAACCAAAATTAAACTCATTATCAAGTGTCTTAGTACATTGTTTATGACTAAGTTTACTTTTAACTTGCTTTGCTGCCTGTTGTTTCAGACAGTATTCTATGATTTAAGTTTGAACATATCTTATATGACTTCCTAAAGTATCGTACAACTCTAGACTAGGATTAGCTACATTTGATTTTTTCAAACGTAGTTCTAAATATGTAATATAATTTTGAATACATAATTCATCCAATGGTGAAGAAAGTTTATTGAAATATTGATTTAACCAAAATTTTGAATGTTCTTCATTCAATTTTTCATATTCGCTAATATATTTTTTAGAATAACCATCCAAGTTTTGGATGTTTCAGAGTTTGAGCTTAGAAAGAATATATTGAGTTTCACTATGAGCATCTAGATCTTCCATGATACCACATAATTCATTTTTTAGAATTTGTGTTAACATTTTAAGAGATCTAGAATATTTTCTGAAGCTAGAAAAGTACTTTTTTGGGTTTTTTTAAAATCAGTATTTTTTCATTTTTTGAGAAATTGAAAAGCATCTTCTTACCAAGTACTGCAAAAATAATTTTAAAATTTTTCTCTATTCCAATTATTTTTGTAGTGAGTTACTACAATAGATATGGACTATGCCCATTCATTTATGATTTTTTTATATTTTGAAATAGAGACTTTTGAAAAATCTAAATACGTACCTCCAGATGTTACAATTCTTTTGTTTAAAAAATCTACAGTAGGGGCTGTATTATTTTGAGAAGGAGTATGGCTTGTTTGGCTACTTTTGTAGTATTTTTTTTATTTCTTCCTTTTTATAAGAATCTATTTGATAAGAAGGATCAACTAAATGTGTTTTAAGTAGTTGATATTATTCTAGATTTTTGCAAAATCTGAAAATCTAAGTAGATCATTAGCCTCCGAATTAGAGACTTCTCATATTTTTCTTTTTCCACGATTTGTTGTTTGCAGAAGATGAATTTTTTCTTCATCTTCAGATGTTGTTTCTTCATTATTTACTACTAAGTTAGTTGTAAGAATGTCAAAATTATCATCTATTGCTTCACCTTCACAACTTTCACTGGTTGTGTCGTAGTTTAACATGTAGTGATAATTATATTTCTTAAAAATATCTTTATGGGTTTCATAAAACTTTTCTATTTCTTGAAGATATTCGACCCTTTGTTTAGAGTTTGTAGTTTAATTCATTTTTTTGTTTAAAATTCTCAATCAGATACCTGTAAGATTTAACGTCCATAAGATCTTGATTTGATTTCTTAGATGATGATGATTTATCATCAGAAGCTAAAATAGTATTACCATAAAATAAAGGTCCAAAATTAGTGGGTTTTTTTTTTTAAATTTTTGTTCTCTTTTAGTCTATATATTATCTATTTTTTCTTCAATATTATCAATTTTTACAAAAAAAATTTTTGAAAAAAAAAGAAGAAAGATCAACAAAACAATTAATAGTTTTACTTATAGCAACATTATTAGATTTACATGTTGGATCTATATGCAGACTATGATTATAAGCTTTAACTTTACAAATACAATTATCTTCTTCATTTTGTTTCATATTTTAAATGCTTAAAATCGATACCAGTTTCTTATCACAATTTCACAAAAGCTAGTTAACAAAGTCAACTCAAGCCATAAATACCAACAAAGAAACCAATAAACTAGGCAATATGAGCTTTAAAATACGAAACAAAAAACAAAGAGATTAAAGTAAAAGTAAAGAGAACTTATAGAATCCTACGAGAGTTAAGTACTACATGATGAGAACTACCTTTAGAATCTCAACGTCTAGTATGATTCTGTTATCTGTGTGTGCTTTTTGTTAGACTTGGACATCATTTGATGTGATTGGATAAATTTGTGCACTTTGTATTGAGCTTAACAAAAACATCAAGCTAGAGGGAGTTTTTAACGCTTTTATGTTGGAGATTTCGTAGATCTACTATAATATATAAGTAAAGTCTTAAACCAGTGAGTATCTTTTATGGAAAAAATCCATCAAATTTTTGGATTAAAATAAATAATACTTTACAAGTTAGATACGAATCTCTAGATCTAGATATTACATGTCAGCATAAAAGCTTCGACCAGGAAATTCTAATTTAACAAAATTAAGAAGAAACTTGAATTGCATTCAATAAACGGAATTTCAGAGTCTAATTGGAAATCTAGTCGAAGTAAGAAGAAAATCCAATAAATGCGAGATCTCACCATGCTGTCACGCTTCAATTCTTTTAAGTTACAGGGGAAAATAGAGGGAATCAAGTGAAATTTGTCAGTTTGAAATTGAGGATCAGTTAAAATTTTCTCAAAGTATAGATTGGGATCGGAAACCGCAGGAAGAAGTGAAAAACCCTAGACCGCAGCGGGAATGGAGATTGGCGAAGAAGGGGAAGGGAACGCTACCACTTTTGAGTTTTGACAGTTAGGAATCGGAAGCAAGAGCGGGAATCACCAGCTTTTCACGACAAAAACAAAATGCTTTGGATTTTGAGGCGAGCACTCGCTGTGGACAAGCTCCTTCATTTTCCTACTTCAATGGTCCAACACACTTGCACTTTGGGCCTTAGCTTATCCTCAAAGTCATTAAGCGGACTTTTCAAAGGCCTTTGCTTTAAAAAGTTTTCAAGTTTATAAAATTTTGGGAAATTGTTTTTTTAACGCAAGAGGACATAATTCAAACTAAGTTTATTAATTTGAAAAATAAATAACTTGTCCCAAAATTCAAATCATGGATTTGGTAAGATTGATAGGAGGAAAAGGAGAAAATTTTGCTAAAGATAAAAAGTAGTTGACTTATTGATTTTAGTTAGGTTAATATTTGAACAATTTTTTAATTATCCAAATTCGTATAGTAAAATTAAAAAATCTGAGATTGACTGTCTATTTTTAAAATTAATGAATTTTTTTTAAATTAAAGGACTTGGATGGAATTTAATTTATAATATAAGATACATGTATATGATCATTATTTCATAAATTTATTTGGTTAAAGTTTTAAACTTTGTAATTAACATTAAAAGATTATCATATGTTTTCTCTTATTATATTAATTAATTTATTTTTTATAATATATCTTAATCAATTATGTCACAAACTTTTAACTTTTTTTTTAACTATGATGGAATTTAAAATTTTCATAAACTATATCTCAAATAGTTTTTCTCAAATCTCACATATATATATATATAATATCCACTTATATTAATGTAAGTTTTATATTTTTTTATCCTTAAATTAAAATAATTAAAATTAAAAATATTATTTTGATTCAAATTAATAATGAATTTAGTTTTGATCAATGATAAAAAATATGTAAAACTTATACGTATATACAGCATCTCTACCCATATATATTAGTATATCCTTGTTATATCCTTAGCCATTTTTATTTTGGTATTTGTCCGTCAAGATTCAAATTATACACTTTATGCATATTCCTATATATCGGCCTCATTTACATAAAGATCAAACAATTATCAAATTTGAAATTTATATTGCATTAGTAAAAAATAGTGTTAATTGAGTTTGTTCTGTTTGATTTTTATGCCAACATGAGGATTTTAATGTCTTTAATTGGCTTAGAGTGTACCCTAGAGCATAGACCCTTATGTCTGGTTTTCATAGTTTGTCCTAAGAGTTTCCCCGAAGTCATTAAACTAGGGGTCAGTATTTTATTCTGTTAGGCCCCTTGCCCAAAGGCAAAGGGCTTAAACTGGTGGAAACATGCGTTGCAATGATGAAGCGTACGAATTATTAAATTCAATAATTCAGAGATTTAGAATTTATTTCTTTATCTCGAATCTCCTAAAAAAAAATAATTGAATTCAAGAAAGATAAGGTCAGTTCTTTCTTCCCAATGGGAGAATCACAAATAAAAAAATTGATTAATTCTTTCTTACAAGTGTTAAGCTTCATGTCTTGAACCTTCTTTGTCAACTGAACCTAAATGTAATGGCTCCTCTTTTCTTTTACTTCCCATCCTTAAAAGTCCATATAATTTTCGAAATTCTCTTACTGAATGATCCCTACTGAACAGATTTCCTTGACCAACCGTTTCGTCTGAATTTCGAATCGATTCACTGTCGCTCAATCTTTCACTAACCCTTTTAGCATTACTGCCCGTGGTCTGCAAAGCTGTGATGACTGATTTCAAGGCTCGAGTGGGCGAGCTTCTGTTAGAAATCATGATCTCCCCAATCTCAGCCGGACTTAAACTAGCCCCTCCCTGGAAAATCTCTTCAACTTGTGGAAAAAGCTTATGTTCCTTGACACCTAAGTAACTATTAGCCAAACTCTTGAAAGCAGAGAAATCACATGGTGGAAATTGTATATGAACATCAATCCTCCCCGGCCTCAAAACTGCTTGGTCAACCTGGTCTTTGCTGTTCATTGTGAATACCATCACCCGCTCCTCGCCACAGCAAGATATGATTCCATCCATGAAATTCAATATCCCTTTCAAGCTCACATCCCTTGATTTCTCCTTTAAGAAACAATCAAGATCTTCAACCACGATCATAGACCGATGGGTAGTTTGAAGCAAGAGCATCTTCAAATCAGAATCGTCTGAAACTTTCGACAAATCAATGTCATACACATCAAAGTACAGGAACCTAGCCATAGCCGCAACAAAGCTGGATTTTCCTGTTCCGGACGCGCCATATAAAAGATAACTCCGCTTCCAGACACGCCCTAGCCTATGGTAAAATTGCTTGGACTTGAGAAACATTTCAAGATCAGCTTTGACCCTGTTCTTCAAATCAACGTCCATGACAAGAGTATCAAAGGACGCTGGATGATTGAACGGGACCGATCTCCACCGTCCATTCTCAACTGTTAGGTTCTCGACTTTCATGCGCAACTTGATCTCTTTCTTCCTTTGATCAATGTCATCAGCAACAGACAGTATGTGTTGGAGATACGGACGTAGAATTCTACGTTTATCATTCTTTCTGAGCCTCAATACGAACATTCTTCTTCCATTTTTCTCAGATTTCTCGACTGTCCAGTTGATTCTGGCGCCAAGAAACGTATCCTGAACTGTCTGGTTGGTGTCAAGATGAAGAACAATATCATTGGACTTGGAACCAGTAAAAAAGTTGGTGAAATCCGAGTCTTCTAGGGAAGGGAGAGAGTTCAGATACGTAGAAACCTTGTGATAGAGGTCGTTTTCCTGGAAAAGATCGTTAAACTGTGGAACTCTGTAGGATTGGTAGACATGAAACCAGTCTTCCAAAGACCGGAAAAGCTTCAGAAGGATGTGTAAAAAGGATGTTCTTAATAAAAAACGGAGGATCAAGAACAAGCTCAGGATTATAAACAGTATTAGAATCATGTTTACCATCTGGGGAGGGCGATAGGGTAGGTTGGAGAACAAAAATGGAGAAGGTATAAAAGAAGAAAGGGGGTTTCTGAATACACCTCACAAATTTCCTTAAAAAAAATCCACCTACCAAATACCAAATTTAGCTTTTAGTAAATAACAAAAATACCCTTTTACTTTTATACACTTCATGCCTCTTTTTTTCTTCCTCTTTTCCTTTTTTTGGTTCTTCTTCTTCCTCTTTCATCTTTTTTTCTCGTATATTAAATCTTAAAATTTTAAAAGTAAAACTAAAATTTTAAAATCAAAATTTTCAAAAATAAATTTTTGATAAGTTTTAGGGTTTCTAAAAAATTCATTTTCAAAAAACTTTTGAGTTTATTAAAAATAGTTTTTGAGCATTTAAATTTTTGAAAAATTTTGAGATTTTTCAAAAATAGATTTTCAAAAACTTCAAAAAGTTTTTCAAAAATAAATTCTCGATAAATCTTTAAATTTTTAGATTTTCAAAAAGCTTTAAGACTTATAGGAAAAGAAATTCTAGAAAATTTTTAAATTTTTGGATTTTCAAAAAATTTTAAAACTTTTCCAAAAATCATTTTTAAAATGCTTTTAAGTTTTTCGAAAATTTATTTTTAAAAAATTTGATTTCACCTAAATTATAACATAAACTCTATTTATATTCACATGCATTTTAACTAAATTTTAATCAAATAAATAAAAAATAAGTTAAAAATTCTATCTTTAATCCATGTAAAGCTCAAGAACATAAGTGATTTGAGGTAAATATTATGAATTTAGGGTTTTTTATTAAAAATGAAGAGAGAAAAGAGAAAATGAAAAAGTGAAAGGGTAAAAAGGTAAAATAAAAAATAAAATGTGGGATGTATTTAATAAAAATAAAAAATTTAAGTTAAAATTTAAAGTGTATTTAACAATAAAATGTATAAAAAAAAAGATGCAAATAAAATTCCCCGCGAAGAAACGAAGATATCATTTATGGGGGCTACTTTAGAAGTCGGTTTGAGCCGGTAAGTGCAATAGGGTCAAAGGCCAAGCAGAGAGTTTTAGACTGATGACTCTAGACAATTAGGATTTAAACCATAGTTGAATAATCTGCTGCATTTTGGCCATCTTTTTCAATGGCTTTGACCGGAGCATGGGCTTTGATTTTTCCGTAAATTTAGGGGCAATTTGATGATTGTTTTTTTATACTTAATTCACCGAAACTCATATTCAACGTTGTTCTAGAAAAAGGCAGAAATTTTCATCGTTGCTTCTTGTTTGTTTAAGTTATTTTTATTTTCATATTCAAGACAAAGAGCTCGCAAAACAAAATTCAATTGATTCCCAATTGCCAATAGAACATGATGCTCTTATAATTTTTCAAAAAAATTATTGATAAAATAAAAAATCGTAGAGAGTGGACGAAGATGGTGGCACCCTCCCTTTCTCCATTTTTTTTTTTTCTCTTTTGATTTGATTTGATTTTTATTAAATTTATTTTTTTTTCTTTTTTGTTAATTTTTAGTTTTTTTATCAAATAAATTTTATAAAAAAATCAATAAAGATAAGGATAATGAAACAATTCGCATTCAGTTAATTTCAATTCATGTTGATTTAATATAAGTATGTTTTTTTAAAAAAAAATTAAGGTTGGATTGAAATTTTTTTGAAAGTAAGATCAAATTGGAGATGAATTTAAAATATTTCATTTTATCCTCAGTGTTTATGTGACCTCTCTCTTTTTTTTTTTCAATTTTTAATTTTTGGAGTTTTTTTTTTAATTTTTAATTTTTATTAAATAAATTTTGTAATAAAAAAATTTATTAAAATAAAGATAATAAAATAATCCATATCTAATAAATTTTAATTCGTCATGATTCAATTGATGCGTTTTCTTTTAATTCGAGATAATTAGATTGAATTTTTAGTTTAAATGAAATTAAGTCAAACCTTGATATATAAATATATATATATATATAATATTTTATTATTTATTTAGTTTTATATTTATATATATTATTAAAAAATATTATCTAATATTTTAATTTAATAAATTGATGTGCTATCTTATTTGACTTTTTTTTAAGCATTTTTTTTTCATTTTTTAAAATTTTATTTACAAGATACATTTTGTAAAGAAAAAATCAATAACTATAGAAATAAAAAAACAACTTACATCCAAAAAGTTTTGATTGACCACATTTTAAACAATGAGAATTTTTTTAGATAAAGAATTTATTAAATTTTTATCTTTAAATAATTTAGATCAAGTCAGCATCAAATACTTTGACTCAATTTTCCTAAGGATATAAAAAAATATATTTTTTATTATTTACTTCTCTCATATTTATATATATATGTATGATATTAATAAAAATATTATTTATTATTTTAATTTAATAAAAATTTACACTTGTATATAATTAAATTATAATTTATATTAAAAAATAAATATAATTATATTCGTCTCTAAGATGTCATCTATTAAAATTTTATATAAAAATTTTACATCTCTTATGTTTAAAATAATTTTAAAAAATAAAAAATTATCTGGCAATAAAACGCACATCTAATTCTAGTAATAATAAAGCTTACAGTTAACGTAAAGCAGAAATATTCAAGATGTGAGATAAAGCCTGTGAACTAAGTTATGGCTGAACCCGCCAGCTTTGAAATGGTACCATTCCAACCTATCCCATGGCATCCGTCATCGGCTCTTTATAAATTGACTGCAATCATTCCCGGCTGTGCAACCTGTGAATCATATGACCAATAGACTCTGAAAAGCAGCCGCCAATGATGACTAAAACATGCATTTGAACATATATTATTGCTTTCACATCAAAACATGGGAGCTGCAACCCCCCGTAATGAGTACACACCCATTGTCAGCAGCCAACCTTGTATAGAGTCAAGATTTGGCATAAGTTATCATGAGCTATTTATATATAAGATATAATAGGATAAAAGTATAAAAGATGATAGATATCGTGTGTTAAGAAAAAATATTTTTATTTCAAATATTGTAATAGTTACAGGTAAAATAGTTATAAAATTTTATTTACATTTTAAAAAAAAGTGAGCTATTGACATATTATTAAATTATCTTATTGATTAATGTATGTGTTAAATCACTCATTTAAGATTGTATCTCCGACCCGATGATAGTAAAAAGGTTCAATGTACTATTTTTTATATTAATAAAATATATTTTTTATATACGAAAACGTCAAGGTCACCTTTGTGTACTCTCATTTTGCCCTGATATTTAATTGTATATGTTTAAGACTGACTTATGGCTTATTGGTTGCTTGTTCAGATATTGAACTATCCTTGATTGATTTGGGTGGAAACATTTATTCAATTGCCACATGATTTATTGTTTCATTGAGAGAAAGTATAGCCCATGACACATGATATCAAAGCACGGTTGGAAAGTGCTAGAGAATTAATAAAATGGTAATGAGTGTTAGATTTAATGACCAACAAAGGATTAAGGAGCTTGAGGCCACGGTGGCTACCCTAAAAGCTCATGTGATAACTAATGATCAATTGAAAGAGCTTGAGACAGCCTAATGAGAGTTATCCGATACTCTACATAACTTGGACGAAGAGACCAGAGATGCTTTGAATGTCTTCTAAAGAGAGTTTGAGCAGCTCAGGGCCCAAGTGAGCGTTCTACGAATGGCTATGGTCAGGTCAAATTTTAGTTCGATAGAAAAAGGGAAACGGGCCAAGGTGCCACAACCTAGATGTTATGAGGGGGTAAAAGATACCAAAAAGCTTGAGAACTTTCTGTTTGACATGGAATAATGCTTTCGAGCTGTGCATATAGAATTAGAGGAGAATAAGATTGCAATGCCTTCAATGTACCTTGGCGGTGATGCCAAGTTATGGTAGCATTCAAAATTTATAAATGATGAATGCCTTATTAAAACTTGGGCAGATCTTAAGCAAGAGTTAAAGAACCAATTCTTCCTTGAGAATGTGGAGTATATAGCCCGAAGGAGGCTTCGAGAATTGGTGCAAACGAAAACAGTGCGAGAGTTTGTGAAGAGCTTTTCTACCCTGATGTTAGACATTAAAGATATGTTTGAAAATGATAAGATATTCTATTTCCTTGAGGGTCTCAAACCTTAGGCCATGGCAGAATTATAAAAACAGAAGGCGCAAGATGTGACCATGGCTACTACCGAATGTCTTTACGATTTTAATGATGGTCCCCTAAAACAAAAAAATCCTTCATCAAGTGTCAGTAGCTCTAACTTTAGGAATAGGGGAAAAATGGCTAGAATGGATTGACCATTTAGTGAGGGATTTGATAAGAAGCTTTTTGGTCAAGACAATATCCAACCTAGGGCAAACAATGTATCGATTTTTAAACCAAGGTAACCGCTAGCTTACTTTCTACGTCAGGGCCCGTACGGGTGATCGACTGCCCACATAAATGTATCCTTAATGCTCTGAGAGTCGCATCTTAAAAGTCTATTAAAGTGCTCGAAACAATCGAAAAAGTTATAGAAGAGCTAGCCAGGATGGGCTCAATAGGATTCTTTAATATCTTTTATACCTAACTAAACATGATAAAAAAAGAACTTATGAGAGGTCTGATATATGTGTACCTGATAGTAAATGAAAAGAACACAAAGGCCATTGTAGATATGAGGGCAACCGATACCTTCATCACACCAGAAGAAGCAAAAATGTGTAGTCTTAAGGTTAATAAAGATTGTGAACAAATGAAAGCGGTTAATTCGTCAGCCTTTAGGATCAATGAGAGCTTCAATAGTGTGACAACCAAGTTGGGGCCATGAAAAAGAAATGTAGACTTCACGATCTCCCTCATAAATGACTTTGATGTTGTTCTAGGATTGGACTTCATGATGTTGACTCAGGCAAACCCAATCCCCGCTACTAATTGTTTATTGTTCTTGGGAGAACGCCCGTGTGTTGTACCGACCATGATCTTTCCTAAGAATGAAAAAAAAATGATTTCAGCCTTACAATTTAAAAAAAAGGTAAAGAGAGAAGAGCCTCCTATGTGGCCATGCCAATCTACAAAAAAGGGATTGAGTTGGAAAAGGGACCTGGTGGGGTGAAAAAGGTATTGAAAAAATTTGAGAGTGTGATACCAAAGCAATTGCCTAAGGTCCTACCTCCTCGAAGATTAGTGGACCATGAGATTGAGCTTCTTCTGAGAGTCAAGCCACTAACTAAAGCTCTATATCGTATGGCTCTGCTTGAGTTGGTTGAATCGAAAAAATAATTAGATGAGCTTTTACAAGCAGAGTTTATTAAACCATTAAAAGCATCATTTGGAGTACCTGTACTATTTTAAAGAAAGCATGATGGGAGTTTACGATTGTGTGTGGACTATAGGGCCTTGAACAAAGTCACTGTAAGGAACAAATATCTCATCTCACTTATTACAGATTTATTTGATCAACTAAGCCAGGCCAAGTACTTTTTCAAATTGGACTTAAAATTTGGCTATCATCAGGTCAGAATTATTGAAAGAGATGAGCCAAAGAGCACGTGTGTAATGTGGTATAGTGTATTTGAATTTCTTGTTGTGCCTTTTGAATTGATTAATGCCCCGTCATATTTTATACCTTGATGAATCAGGTGTTCTATGACTATCTTAACAAGTTTGTGGTCATTTATTTAGATGATATAGTGGTTTATAGTTCTACCCTTAAAGAGCACCAAGATAACATACGTCTTGTGTTTCAAAGACTACAAGACCACCAACTATATGTTAAAAGAGAGAAATGTGCATTTATTCAAACATGAATCTACTTCTTAGGCCACATTCGAATGGACATGAAAAAAGTAAGGGTTATGAAGGAGTGGATAACACTAAAGAATGTCAGTGAACTTCGCTCATTTTGGGGTTAGTCAATTATTATAGGAGATTTGTGGAATGCTACTTAATGAATCACGGCCCTCACAGAGTTATTGAAAAAGGAGCATAAATGGTGTTGGACAAGTGAATGTCAAGAAGATTTTAAAAGATTAAAGAAAGCTATGATGAAAGACCTTGTCTTGGCTCTTTTTGACATTACGAAGCCTTTTGAAGTTCAAATGGATGCATACAATTTTGCTATTAGGGGAGTACTTCTACTAGAATGACACTCGATAGCCTTTGAAAGTCGAAAGTTGAATGAAGCTAAAAGGAGATATACGACTCAAGAAAAGGAACTCTTAGTAGTAATTCATTGTCTAAAAGCATGGCAACACTACTTGTTGGGTTCATAATTTATCGTGAAAATGGACAATGTGGCAATTAGTCATTTTCTCACCCAATCAAGGCTCATGGCTAAATAAGCTAGATGGCAAGAATTTTTAATCGAATTTGAATTTTGTTTCTAGCACATAGCTGGAAGAACCAATCAAGTGGCAAATGCATTGAGTAGACGAGCCGAGTTGGCTGCCTTTAGAAAAATAGCCCTAATGACGGCTAGTAAAGTTACGATAAATGTTCGCAAGTAAATTAAAGATATTCTGAGGAAAGATCCGTAAATCAATACCATTTTAAAGCTAGTAGTAAAATGAAAGACCAAATACTTTTGGCAAGAAAATGAGGTTTTATTGACAAAGGGTCTTTGGTTGTTTGTGCCAAAAATAAGAGGTTTGAGATATATCCTAATAAGGGAATGCCATGACACACCATGTGCAGGTTATCTTAGTTGGCAACGTACTTTGGCTCTACTGAAACAAGGTTATTATTGGCCTCGATAAGATATGATGGACTATATTAAGACTTATCGCATTTGCTAATAGGATAAAATTGAAAAGAAGAAACCAGTAGGCTTGCTTGAACCATTACCTGTGCCTACTAGACCTTGAAAAAGTATCTCCCTTAATTTCATATTGGGTCTTTCCAAAGTTGGCGATTTTAGGTTTATTTTGGTGGTGATTGACCACTTTTCGAAATATGCCACACTCATTCCCACCTAAAAGTATTGTACTGCGGAAGACACAGTCTGACTGATGTTTAAACATGTAATTAAGTATTGGGGCCTTTCTTAAAACATTGTTAGTGATAGGGATCTAAAATTCACTGGGTTATTCTGAAAAGAACTTTTTCAGATCTTAGGATCCTAACTCAACATCTCTTCAAGTTATCACTCGCAAATCGATGGTCAAACTAAACAATTTAATGGGTTGTTGGATGAGTACTTGAAACACTTTGTTCAAGCTAATCAGAAAAATTGGCCTTCATTGTTAGATGTAGCTCAGCTTTATTTTAATTCCAACAAGTGTTCTTTCACAAACAAGAGTCCATTTAAAATGATCACAGGACAACTACCAAGACTACTACATGCATCCCTTGAGTCGTATGGAGGGAAAAAAACATTCAACCTTAGCAAAAAATAGAGATAAAATACAAAAATACACAAGCATACTTGAAAAAGCATCGAAAGGCATGAAGAAGTGGGCAGATAAGGGTCGAAAGGTATAGCAATTCAAAGTTAGTGATCTTGTTCTTGTCAAACTAGTACCTGAACAAACCAAGTTCCTAAAGAAGCGAGATCATAGGTTGGTCCATAAATATAATGGTCCAATGAAGATCCTTTCCAACGTGGGGAATGTTTGTTACAAAATTGACTCGTCAAAATGGATGAAGGTGCATCCAATGTTCTATGTGAGCAACGTAAAACCTTTCCATACAAATCCCACAGATGCAAGCCGTAGAGAGTCAACTAGGGCTGCCATCACCATGGAGCCACCATCAAAATGTTAAGTTAAAGAGATTTTAGCTGATAAAGAATCCAGGGTATCTCGAAGAATAATTCATGAATATTTAGTGAAATGGGAAGGCTTAGGACTATAGGAGACTAGCTAGAAAAGAGATTATGACCTCCAAGCATTCAAACAAAATATCGAAAAATTCCAAACCAACAAGTCGACAAGGACATCGATAAAATAAGTGAGGGAAGATGTCATGAGCCAATCTTATATAAGGTCATGACTGAGCATAGGTTGTCATGAGCTACCCATGTATAGGGTCATGATGCCAAGGGGAGGATAAATCTCGTGTGCTAAAAAAAATATCTTTATTTCAAGCATTGTAATAGTTACAGGTAAGATAGTTATAAAATCTCATTTTCTCTTTAAAGGAGATAAGTAATCGACATATTATTAAACTACCTCACTGATTAAAATATATACTAAATCACCCAACTAAAGCTATCCCTCTAATCCAACAATGATGGGGACGATTCAATGTACTATTTTTAATATTAATAAAATATATTTTTTTATATATAAAAATACCGAGATCATCTTAGTGTAATCCTATTTTGCCCTGATATTTCATTATGTATGCTTAAGATTGATTTATGACTTCTTAATTACTTATTTAGATATCAAACTATTCTTGATTAACCTAGATGAAAACATCCATTCAAATACCTCACGATCTATTGCTTCTATTGCTTCATTAAAAGATCGCATAGCCCGTGACACCTATCTTGTTACAAGGATCTTTCAGATCAAGCAACAAAAAGTAGAATCGGAAAACCAAACCGGTCAAACTGTATTACACCCCATAACATCCCAATTCAACTGAATCAACAGGGTTTCTAAAATATATTACAACTGAAAGATTTCACTCGCTAACTTTCGCAAGCTCCATTGGAATTGCAGCAGCTAAAATCATGGGGTAATAAATTGGAGCCCAGGGACCAAAAAGGCAAATGGAAAGTTATTTTAATTGAATAACTTTAGTGACTACAACAATTCTTAATATTTCAAAGCTGCCATCGTAAGCTTTAAATAAGATGTCACCTCAACTGTTAATATGTAGCTTTACCAGAAAAGAGAATCTAAGTTTCTGGGCATGGTACTGAACACCAGATTGCCTGGCGGGATCTGAGCATAGAGATGAGAAATTCAGGCGTCATGAGAATCTGATTGAAGGTTAACAATTTGAGAAACTACAAGCTTGGAGAGTTCATTAATTGCAGCTTGAATCTGAAAATCATCTGATTCCCCCAGCCTTGACTATCCAGGTAACTGTGAACTTAACCTGCTATATTCATTTGCAGCAACCCCAGTCTTCTTAGATGTAGCAAGAACTTTCTCCAGATCAGTCTGTGATAATGCCCTTGGAGCCTGAAAAACACAAAATAGAACATAGACAAAAACTTAATAAGATAAATAATCAATGATATGTAGCTAAAAATATGAAGGCTATAGGTAAGTTACCAATGTTCATCAATTCTACATGCAAACAGAACTTTTGCTCATAGGTTTGTGTTCGAGAAAACAAAAAAATCTTCCCAGAATCTCATCCTCTACCTCATTCCATCTATAATCAAGTACTTGTGACACAAAAAAAAAAGTTAGATTCAGTCCCTCATCACATAACAGAAACAGCCAAACAGGAGCTACCTCAATTAAAATATATTTCTGAACAGAAAATTCATAGGTTTAAGATGGCTAGTGAGATCATTCAGAGATATAAGCTGAACCTCAGCAAAACCTGAGAAAGACAGCACATGGACACAGAAAAGAAATATACAAATATACTTACTCCAGATGGTTTTCCTTTCTTCTCCTCATCTAGTAAGTCCCTAATAGGAAAGTATCCTGCTTTCTTGCAGAGGTCAAGAAGATCTGAACCTGTGTACCTTTCACACAAACTGGCTATGTAGTCAAAGTCGATGCTTTCTTCAACCTTCTCACCCTTCAAAATCACCTTCAGTATCCCAGCCCTCTCCCTGTGGTCAGGTATTCCAATCTCAAAAGCCTGGGGAAGATGCCTGAGTATGACTTCATCCAGTTCTGATGAATGATTTGTTGCAACAAGAATCATAACTCGTGCATTCTCTGGACAACAATATAAAATCATAAATTTTAAATTATTATAGATTTAAAAATAATACCTAGAACAGTCTTCAGTGAGCCCTTCATCACAAAATAAATGAAAGACAGTACTTTGTGGGAGATTGATAACAGTACATAACAGCTTTTAGGAGCAAATATACTCACGATCAGTGGTAAATCCATCCCATAAAGCCATGAACTCAGTCTTCATGTTTGCCATTGCTTCATGATCTGTATTACGACGCTGCTCCAAAAAACTGTCAACCTCATCAATAAATATAATAGCAGGCTGGAGTTTATAGGCCAAACTAAATACAGCAGCCACTGCAAAAGTAGAAGAGGAAATAAACAATTCAATCTGAGACGCATAAAAGAAAAAAGATTTACATGAGGCCTTACATCCATTATAAAAGGCATATGAAAAGGATGTTTAATTGATAAGAAAGGCTAGCTTACTACTACTTACATATGCAATGAAAATTTCCATCTTTTGTTTGTCTTTTCTTGTCTGTGTGTGAACATTGGAGTGACAGGACACATTAGATGACAACCATTTTTGGGGCTTCAGCCAAAAGACATGGTATGAAGCCATCTCAGTATGACCTTAGGATGGTTGAATTAGTTAGCCTTCTCTTAAAAGAATTCTTTTACCTATCTAGAGTATCTTCTCATATCTCCACTAGAGTTAAACTCAATATAGCAAATAAAAACCAGAAAAACAGATTACGGTCCAATTTTAATCATGTATAACGATATGAATTAAGGTATAGTAACAAAATACAAAAAGCCCTAGAACAAATAGGGATAGAGTAAACATTACAATACTTACCAAGTTTCTGTGCAGCACTAAACCACTTACTCATGAGATTTGATATCCTCACATTGATGCAAACAGCTCCAGACTCCTTTGCAATGGCTTTAGAAAGCATGGTCTTTCCAGTACCTGGGGGCCCATATAACAAAACCCCTTTTTGAGGACCAAGAAGCTTTCCATGTGACAACAGCTCTGGTCTCCTTAATGGAAGAATCACTAGTTCATACAGAGCCTGCTTGATGGCTTCCAATCCTCCAATAGACTCAAATTCCACATCAATGTGATCAGGATTTATCACATCACAGGCTATTACATCCCGTTAAATGAAAAAAGGTATAGGCATGTGGCAACCATAGAAGTTGACAGTTAGGACCCCTTGCTTCTATTCTAACACTATATCTCAAAGCAAATATTCCAACAATCTATATTTTGGATTACTGAATATACCATGCATGAATTTGAAAGTATATTTAGTAGGCACGCATTCTGAGATATGATAGTTTTAGATATAAAGCAGGAAATTGATGAACATAATAGAAAACAAGAAATGAACCTCTAGCAAATTACAGACATCAAACAGAAATATGCTAATGCCTGCAACAAAGGCTAAAAAAACACATGCTTATATGCTAGCATTCCAGTTTCTACAGAGCTTATCGGCAACTGGCTGGTTATTGATTCCCCACTAGTATTAATGAATTCTTTATTATTTGAAACCTTGATGGTATTTGTAAAGATTGGGAAGGATATCTTGCTTTATTTAGTTCGATAGTGTATTCCAGGCTAGTTCTAGGAGTTATTTTATGTCTTACGTTGTTTAGTTGGGCAACTGCAGTTGTATGGTCGTTATTTTTGCTACTTGCTTTTGCTTTTAAAATTTTAGCATTCATGATTCATGAATAAGAAAACACAATATTTTACATTTATATGGAACAAATATGCCTTAAACTTACCGTCTGCTGATGATTCTTAGTCAAGTAGGATTTCGCTTTAGCAACTTTTAAAAGCAAATAAATAGCAACAATCAAAAGCAAACTACCCTAATATCCCTTTAGCAAGCTTTAATGAATTCAATGTTCAAAATCCAGACAAAGGACAGCGATTTCTATTCACAAAAACAAAATTTTGCAATTTTGAACTACAAATTCCAGCCTTGAATTCCATTCCAACTAATCAAAACCCTAAAAAAAACCTAAAGAATCAATAACATACTGACAAATTAATCAGCTTACAAAAAAGTAACACTTTGACCCAGAAAAGCTTCCACTTTTAAAAGGAAAAAAATATTATCATAAAACCATAAATTTTTTTTTTCAATTCCAAAATAAGATTACCTCATAGGGATTGGTGTGAATTAGAGGACAACCCAAGCGCTTGGCTATTTCCATCTTGTGCTCCAGTGCTTTTTTAGAAGCTTCTCGGTTCGGGTCGAGGTGTCGGAACCCCGTGAAGAGGACCAAGCAACTAAGGGCGGCGCTGGCAGCGTACAAAATCAGTTCTTGCAGGAACTTTGTCTCCGACGAAGATGAACCCATCTTCGCATATATTAATTTATTTTAGTATTATCATAAAAAAGCTTACTACTAATAGTGTTTAGAGAATAATTAAGGTTTCAAAAGAAAAGAAAATAAATGCTTTTGCGTCAAAGAAAGTGGTTGAGATTTGGGAATGAAGGAAATGAAAGAGGCTTTGGTTTGGTATTCTCGCTTTTCTGAGGTCCTTCGAGAATAAGGAAGCAGAAGAAAAGTAATTTGTTTTCTTGGTGATCTGAGGTTTTCTGGTAAATTGATTAAATTTCTTTTTATTTTTTTATTTTTGTTAGGCTTGTATGTAGCCCATTGGTGGGATGGGCCACAGCTCTAAATGGAAAAAATTTGATTGACACCACTTCCAGCCCCTAGTCCAAGCCCAAGTAAACCAATTAAATAATAAAAAAAAGAGCTGATTTTTTAACTCAAAGATAATTGGTTAGTTTATTCAAATTCTTTTAAGATGTGATATTTTTTTAATTTAAATTTTAATAATTATAATTTAATTTTTTTTATTATGCTACAACCTCATTGTATAAAAAAAATTTTATAAAATTTTTCAATACCAAAAAAGCTTTGGATAAAAAATAACGTTATCTAATATATATATATAATATATATATATTATATAACAATATACACAAACAAGTTTGTCATATAAGCGTATATGTGAACAACTCTCTTAAATGATACATAGGATAGTTTTTTAAAAAAATAAGATAATTTCTTTTACTTACAAATTAGATAATTTTAAATTTATTCAAATATCATAATTATTTAAATTATAATTAAAAATCAAATCAATTTAGAGATATATATTCTAAAATAAAATATATGAAATATGAAATATATTTTTTAATAAATAATTTTAGTTGTTTATCAAATAACCTTATTTAAAAAATTATTTAATTATCAAAATATTTCAAACATGTTTAAAAATTATAAGGATTAAGTTTATCTAAATCTTTCAATAATCTTTTTTATTTTAATTTAAAATTTTATCTTTTTAAAAATTTACATAAGATATTAAAAATTCAAGTAATTTTATGTAAGATTTTGAAAATTCGAAAAATTTTTATCTTAAATCTTTAAATAATAAGATTATCAATATGATTACATCTATTTGAACTCTAATTATCAAATTTATATTTTAAATAAATACAAAAAATTTAATATTATTTTGATCACTTATTATATCCATTTTAAATTTTAAAAAATTAATTTAAAATTTATTTATTTAATCTTAATTATCACTAAAGAATTATTCTATAAATTTAAGACTACAAAAGTAACGTATTATATATCATTTTTTTATTTTTTTTCAATAACTTTTTTTAAGATATATTCTATTACTATTGCAATTTTTTTTTTTATAAATTTTTTAAAGATATATTTTATTGTTGTTACAGTTTCATTCTTATGAAAAATAATATTTTTTTAATTTATTTTTTATTTTTTCATATATTTTCTAACATTTTTCATATTTTGTATAATAATTTAGTCAAAATTACTAAAGTGAAAAATGTGTTAATACTTCTTTTATTAGTTAATTTATCATTCAATAATATTTATTTTTATTTTTTTAAAAAGCATAATTTATTTTTATTTGATATAATTTTATAAGTGCATAAATATTATTGTAAACAAAAATATCAAAAGGAAAGACATAATTTTTTTTGCTGTTTTCATAAAGTTTATTTTTTAATAATAAGTTAATAAATATAAGATTTTATATATGTTATGAATTTTAAATATTTGAATATAATTTAAAAAGGAATTAATTTGTGTGTATATATATTTCATATTAAATAAATAAAATTATTTGTGCATCGCACGGATTATAATCTAATTATTTTATATTTCTTTTGTTTTTTTTTATTCATTTTTTTAGCTATTTCAAAATTAAGTTTTTTTTTTTAACATTTAAAACTCTTATTTTTTATTTTTTTAAATTATTTTTATAACTTTTAACTTTTGACATTAAAAATAATGAAACTTTAATTTTATAAAAAATTTAATTTTAATATTAAATACATTAAAGTCAAAGATTTTTTTTTTAATTTCATGAAAGTCAATACATCGCAAATATTTTAATACGAAAAATGTATATAAATGGTAAATTTCTTTTCATACAAAACTAAAATAGAATAATTTATTTATTTAAATTATTATATAACTCTTTTATTTATACAATTATACTTAACATGACACGTTTTAAATTTTTTAATTTTGTATTTAAAATTAAGAAATCTCAGCAATGATGCATAAGACGATTTTTCACCAAAAGAGATGAAAAATATCTAATTTACAAAATCTTGTAGTCATGGTACATTTATTTGTTGATAAATATAATTTTTTCAATTAAATAATAAAAAAGATAAAAGAAGCATTTTCCAAGTTTTTAAAAATAATTTTCATAGTTTTTTTTAATCCATCAACGTCACTACTCGCAAACTAGATCGGACGTGGCTACTTGCTAACCTCTTTTTGTGGTATATTCTCAACTTTCAAAGATGATGACAGAAACAACTTCAACTATCATAGAATTCGTTGCTTCTCCAAATTGGCTTCATCTTCATTTGGTTATCGATAGTTTCAATCATTTGTATTTATATTATTTTTATTTTATATTAAATACAAAAATTATAAAATTATTATATTATAATTCTTGTTAATATAACGAAATATATTTTTTAATTATTTTCAATTTTATATAAATTTTATTAAAATTTTAAATTATATGATTTTTATTTTTTATATTATATTCAAAATTATTAAAATAATAATTGTTACTCAAAATTAAGTTTTTTTTTTCCATAATATAATATAAAAGAGAATGACTAATATACTGAAAAAATTGCAAAGAATTTGGTACCTCATATAGAAAACCCTTTTGATTAAAGTTTATTAAAAGTGAAAAGGAGGAAAGAAAAGGCCAAAAATAGGTTGAGGTGGCGATTGGGTCAATGGATTAATGATAGATTCTCCATATCCAGCGTCTCTAAGAAAGACACGTTTCCAAACTAACAATCAGTGCACCTCTAAAACATTATTTCTGTCTGCACGCATTACACGCTAGGAAAATCAATTTATTCTTCCTTATAATTACATCATTATTTTTACTATGTTACTATTTGTTTTTCTAGACATTTATTGCTCACTGTTAAATAAAGGACAACAATGGGGGGTTACAGCCTAGAATTATTCGATGGCAAGCCCACTTATCGAAAGAGCGCGTTAGAAGCACGCTCCACAATAACGTTGGAAACACATTTCACTTGTCAGAGACAGTGACATCTAAGGCCAGGCTTTGATCTGAAGCCAATGGATCAACGACACCCATTCCAGCGGCCCCACTATCTCAACTCTCAATCTGGATTTCCTATCTTCGAGTGGCTTTCTTTTTCCGATTGTTTGAGCCTTTCTTTTTTTTGGCTTTTGTTGAATGCGCCATCATGTTAAAGCAACACGCCTTTTCCCTGTTAAGGATTTTCTATCTTCGAGCGGCTTCTTTTTCCGATTGTTTGACCCTTTTTTTTTTCTTGGCTTTTGTGGAATGCGCCATCATGTCAAAGCCACACGCCTTTTCTCAGTAAGGGCCGCTTTCAATCCGAAGGAGTGGAACTAGTTCCAATGAATCTCTTTAAAAAACTTGCATTTCAATCTCTCTCTGTGGGACTGATCGTAAAGAATCTAAATTTATGGCCAAACACTTGTTGAAATGTACTGGGGGTCAATGGTTGGATGGTTGATGAATGTATTATGTACTGCAAGTCTTCAAAAGCATGCTTTGTACTACTTTGCAGTACATGCAGATGGTCTTAAAAGTCGTAAATACTAGATTTTTTTTTTTTGCGGTTGGTAAGCTGTGGTTGCTTTGCTAAAAGACTAAGCAATTTTGTACCAAATTGCAGAGTCTTGAATTGCAGATTTTGGGATACCCTTTTTGGGGATTTGGGGGTAATCTTGGTTCAGATGCTGAATTTAAGGCCCTGGTGATATTGCATTCAATTGAATTTAAGTACCACTTTGGCTTTTTCTGGGGTTTGTGGTTTGCTTGTGGTCCTTGTGGGGTGTTTATTACTGTTTGCTCGGTCCATTGAACTGAAACTCAGATACTTGCGATATCTTCTTCCTTGTATTTGGAGAGTGCTGCGAGTCATAAGGTGAGTATTTTATTGCTTCTGTGGCATGTTCTTAGATCACCCAAAGGAAAAAAAAGCAAAGCAAATCTCAGTTTGACGTTGTTTAATGAATTCTGGTTAATTCGATGGAGAAGAATTAGAAGAAACAAATTGGAGCCCGTGCAAGTTTTTCCAACGTCTGGTCTTTGCTGAACTCTAGCAAAACCAGAATCAGAAGAAGAAAAAGCTGATCACTGAGGTAAGACCTTTCGTGGCTGCATAAGTTGTCCATGACTCCATGTAGTTTCATTGTAGTATATGTTTTCTCTTTGAACTGGACCTGCAAATGAGATTTTTGTGATAATTAATTAGACTGGCTGGAACCAGATTATACCAATCCAATGGCAAACATGAACATGGAAGAGATGAAGGAGATTGAAAAAGTTGACTTAGAAGATTTAGAAGAGATGAATAATGAGACAGAGGAGTTGAAGAGAATTGCATCGTGGATGAAACAGATAACCATTCGAGGACTCATTGCTAGCCTTCTTATTGGTATCATATACAGTGTGATAGTCATGAAACTCAACCTCACAACAGGGCTAGTTCCCAACCTCAATGTCTCGGCTGCTCTTCTTGCCTTTGTATTTGTTAGGTCGTGGACTAAGCTGCTTCAAAAGGCAGGATTTGTTTCAACTCCATTTACTCGACAAGAGAATACTATAATTCAGACCTGTGCGGTTGCTTGTTATAGTATTGCTGTTGGTGGTTTGTGTTCTCTTATCAAGTTAATTTCTTGTTTGCAGTCAATTTTTTCTTCCTTTTTGGTAAATTTTGTTGATTAATTGGATAACCATTTCACCTGTTTTTGTTTTCTCCATCAATTATTAAATGCAGGTGGTTTTGGGTCTTATCTGTTGGGTTTAAACAGGAAAACATATGAGCAAGCAGGTGTTGATTCAGAAGGCAACAATCCTGGGAGCATTAAGGAACCTGGGATTGGTTGGATGATGGGTTTTCTCTTTGTGAGCTGCTTTGTGGGGCTTTTGGCATTGGTTCCTCTGAGAAAGGTATGTCTGTTTCTTCTATTTTCCTTTCTTGCTATTCAGTGTTTCCAAAGGTAAATTGATGATAGATTTATTTGCAGTAATTTCGTTGAATCTTAGTTTGTGATCCGCGTCTTAATGCTTTAAGATCATGATATATATCAACGATTTCCGTTTTAAAACTTGCAATAATGTGGTCATGTGAATTTTTTTTGTCAGATCATGATAATTGACTACAAATTAGCTTACCCAAGTGGAACTGCTACAGCTGTCCTGATAAATGGGTTTCATACTCCCAAAAGAGACAAAATAGCTAAGTATGAATCTACTATTCTGAATCCATTTCTTTTCAAATTATACACCAACCATGTTGTGAATGTGGCATAACTCAAGCATGTAATGATTCATCTTACAGGAAGCAAGTTCACGGGTTTCTGAAATTCTTTTCACTTAGTTTCCTCTGGGCGTTCTTCCAGTGGTTCTATGCAGGCGGAGATAAATGTGGATTTTCTCAGTTTCCTACGTTTGGCTTGAAAGCATGGAAAAACTCGTGGGTGCTCTAGATTTTCTCTTCTTTATGTTGTCATCTGCCCACTTATATATCTTACCATAATCATTACTAAGAAAAGTTCAATTTGCAGATTTTACTTTGATTTCAGTATGACTTACATAGGAGCAGGAATGATCTGTTCCCATCTAGTAAACTTATCTTTGCTCCTTGGAGCAGTGCTTTCTTGGGGAGTAATGTGGCCACTAATAGGTGGGCTCAAAGGAGATTGGTTCCCTGCAACTTTACCAGAAAACAGCATGAAGAGTCTAAATGGTTACAAGGTCTGCAGAGACATTTTATTTGGCAGAGCCTCTTCCATAATAATATTTTGGCACCAATATTCATACTCATTTCTAACTATTTTCCATTTATAATGCAGGTTTTTATTTCTATTGCTCTAATCCTTGGGGATGGGCTCTACAATTTTCTGAAGATACTGTTTTTCACTGCAAGAAGCATTCATACCAGAGTGAGAAATAGCAATCTTAAAACATGTAAGTCAGTAACTCCATAAAATGTATTTTTATTTTTTCGCTCCTGTCCATCTTAGCGCTACCATAATTTTCTACTCACTAGTTATAGCTTCCAATTGCCATTTTCTACGGAGCTAGGACTGATTTCATATTACAAGGGTACTTAAGCAATTCAATATTCTGTTTTCATGGTGAGGTGGTGGACTGCCCCTTTTCATCATGATTTGTCATGCTGCAATGGCATTCATTTGATTTTGGAAGTTCTAAACCAAATATGATTCACCTTGGTCTCATAGATCCTTTGCTTACTTTACTCACTCTCTTTTTCTATATTGCTGTCCTTAGAGAATACTAACTTTACTAACTTCCTTTGCTTGCAATGCAGTTTCTGATAACCAGAAGCAGCATCAGGATGATCTTCAACGAAATAACCTATTCCTACGAGAGAGCATTCCTATTTGGGTAGCATGTGCAGGGTACACCATTTTTTCTATTATTTCCATCATTGTGATCCCTCTGATGTTCCCTGAGCTGAAATGGTATTATGTAGTTGTTGCTTACATTCTTGCACCCTCTCTAAGCTTTTGTAATGCATATGGTGCTGGTCTGACTGACATGAACATGGCCTATAATTATGGAAAAGTAGCGCTCTTTGTGCTTGCTGCCTTGTCTGGAAAGGAAAATGGTGTGGTTGCAGGACTTGTGGGCTGTGGTCTTATTAAGTCCATTGTTTCTATCTCTTCTGATTTGATGCATGATTTCAAGACTGGTCATCTAACTCTCACTTCTCCAAGATCCATGCTTCTCAGCCAGGCAATTGGAACAGCAATTGGCTGTGTTGTAGCTCCTCTTACGTTCTTTCTCTTCTATAAAGCTTTTGACGTGGGGAACCCTGATAGTGAATACAAAGCCCCATATGCCCTTATTTATCGAAATATGGCAATTTTAGGTGTTCAAGGCTTCTCTGCCCTCCCTCACCATTGTTTGCAGCTGTGCTATGGGTTTTTCTCCTTCGCCATAGCAGCCAACTTATTGAGAGATTTTACTCCAAAGAATATTGGGAAATGGGTTCCCCTTCCAATGGCTATGGCTGTGCCTTTCCTTGTTGGTGCTTATTTTGCAATTGATATGTGTGTGGGGAGTCTGGTTGTGTTTGCATGGCAGAAACTAAACGGCAAGAAGGCAGGTTTGATGGTTCCTGCTGTTGCTTCTGGCTTGATATGTGGAGATGGGTTGTGGCTTCTTCCTTCTTCAATCCTTGCTTTGTTTAAGGTTCGACCTCCAATCTGCATGAACTTCTTGGCATCAACATAGACTATGTTATGGTGACAGAGAGAAAGAGGGAGAATGCAGAGGCTTTGTTAGTTACATTTAACAAAAACTAATTTTGAAGTTGCAGACACACAACGGGTTACGAACCAGTATAGTGTTTCATACACAATCTGTGTCTTCGAGTAAAACGCAACATATATGTTAGTTCTGATGTATATCAGTATATGAAAAAGTTTTAATAAAATTCAGTTTAGTTAAGAAACAAAGATCAATTCCATAATTGATTCCCAACTTAAGCATCCTCTCTGATTACTTTTACAGTCATTGACACAATTCAATTGTCTTGCTGGACACAGTCTTCTTAAAGCTTTACTGGTCTTGTTCATGTTTCGAAGTATGTGGACATCTTTTTGCTCATATACACTTACACCTTGTAAGAGCTGCATAAGTATGTGAGCAAATTGTATATTCCGCATTGCCAACAGCTTCGTGACATGGTAGAATACTGGATGAAGCCGTGAATATATATATATATATATATATATATATATATATATATATTAGCAAAGGAAACAATGCTGCAAGCCTACTGGCAGGGGAAATGAACTTTCGGACTCTGCTGAGAATCAACAGAAAGCTTATATCTTGTCATGAACTTTAACATTCAACAAAAAGATGACAGTTTTGCGTGCCATTCGGAAGCCTTTTTCCTTTCTGTTTCTTAGGGAAAGATTAGAACTTGCAATAACAAATATTTTCCTCTCTGATGGGATCATAATTATGAGAGAATATATTTTAATCTAGCCAACAACAAAAAAAAAAAAAAGAGTTTAACTTCAGCTACAAAAAACTTAGTAGTGGCACTTGATTGGAATTCAACTAAATTTTATTTTCTAATTTGAACCCAATGTAGAAAAATCATCAAACTTGACTATATATATAAAAACTCAACTCGCTCAACCATTGAAGCTATTCAAACTTGAATTTGATATGACAGTGACAGGATTAAAATGAATGCCCACGTTGGAGTGGTTGGAGCCGTTGATGAGACATATCTCCCCTGGTCATTTTGCATGCTTGGATTAATACGTGCCCATTTACATGATAAAAATTAGTTGTGATTGGTACAATTACAAAGATGTGAATGGATCAAATATTCTCAGTAGTTCCCTAAGCCTAACACCCAATGCTATTCCTTGTTTTAAGGGATATTTTTAATCGGAAACTCTTACATTATCTTTACTAATAAGATTTTTCCTACAAGATTATCAAGTTACATTTCTTATAATAATAATAATATGTAATGCATGCGATTTATTCAGTTTACTCGTATGTAAAATATTTATATTTGGTTTACTAGGCATATAAAATTTTTAGTAACTTTTTATTTTACTAAATTATCATCTAAGACAAAAGGAATAAAATTTGAACATGAATGAAATTATTTTCTTGTTAAAACATACATGCACAACTCTTTATCTCATCAAATGTTACCAAAATAATATATTTTTTAGCATAATAAGATAAAAATGCATAATTTTAATATAAAACATACAAAAATGTAATTAAAAAAAAACTAAGTATCCATAATAGTAACAGGCCGATTACATCTAACAAAAAGTTATTACAAAGATAAGATGGCCAAAAAATTTATTTTCTGAAACTAAAATAGGGATAAAAGTTAATTATATTCCCAGCTGAATGTAACGAAATATAAAAGAGAGGTACATTTGTGATTCTCAAATTTGATATTATATATAAATAGTGTTGTATTTTCATATTTTAAAAATATTTCGAACTGAGCAAAATAATCTCTTAAATAAAAGATAGGCTTGAACAATAATAAAAGATACTATGAACCAAACAACCCTAAGAAATCCAACATTTGGGACAAGTTCAAGTATAAAAGACTCTTGCAAGGTAAGAAAGGACAAGACAGGACTATGGCTTTATCCTGGAACATGACTTCAAAAACATGTCATTCTTGTATCAGATAAGGCCCTTTTATTGCACAAGCCTTCGAAGCTTTAGCTCTTTCTAATCTCGAAAATTTAAAAGGAAGCTTTGACTCTTTTGTTGCATATTTGACATTGTCGTAAAGATTTTAAGATTATCAAATATAAAAAATTTTAAAATTAAAAAAAAAAGAGAATTATCATCAATTTTTTTTATAGTGTAATTGATCACCCGAAAGATTATCTTTTTAATAAAATTATAAAATGAATTTAAAGTTTATCAAAAAAATAAATTTTAGTCTACGAAAATAGATTTTGAGTTCAGATATCGGTTATAAATAGAAATAGATTAGCATCCCCATAACACTCATAAATTGATACCAATTAATTATACGTTATTTTCAGTATTGAATGAAATATTTTTAATTTGAAATTTAATACTAATTTTCTTCATTTAAAAAAATATTTTTGGTAAAATCCTTTATTTAGAAATATTGAGAAAATCTTTAAGTTAAAAAATTATCTTAAAATTTTTCAACATCTAAGTAAAATTTAAAATAACTCTTTTTACTTGAAATTTAATATAATATCCCTTAAAATAAAAATAACACTCATTGCAAGATATTACTATTAGTAACTCTCCAACATCTAGATAGAATACCGAAAATTACTCCCTTTGGAATGTTATTTTTGTTTTATTTTATAATATCACAATTTTAAAAGCAAGTAAATAAAAAAATATTTTGTGTGAAAAAGTAAATGATGGTATTATCAAATAACAAGTAAAAATTAAAGACAAAGAAATACAAACAAATTCAAACAATAACAAATAAATGCATGTGAGCCAATATGTGGTGCGTATGATAATGAAATGCAAAATTTGAAATTAATTCCTTAAATATAATGAGACCACATTGACTCCTTAACATCTAGGCAAAGCTTAGGTACGACTATTCATATTTAAGATCTCATATTTTTTAGTATACTTTTATTATTAATTAGTTATTAATCCCATGGTTAAAGCGAATTAAGGACTGGCATAAAAACTAAATGAAATAAAGTTTCTTAAATACCCCATCGTCTAGGTGGCATTTGAGAACAAATTATTTCGAGTGAAATTTTCATACGTGTCCTTGAAATTTTGGGATGGTCTTAGTTAGAGCTTAGGTCGATGTTTTAAAGGTTAGGGTTTCAGATTTTGAAGATTCGGATTTTAGGTTTTGGTTTGAGTTTTAAAGGTTTTAGGGCTTGAATTTTAGGGTTTGGAAAGTTTAGGGTTTAGGGATTAGGTTTTTGATTTTAGAGTTTGGAGGGTTTAAGATTTTGATTTTAGGGGTTTGAGGTTTTAGGGTTTCGATTTTAAGGTTTGGGGTTTCAATTTTAGGGTTTGGAGTTTTAGGGTTTCGATTTTAGGGATTTAAGGTTTTAAGGTTTCGATTTTAAGGTTTGAGGTTTGGGGTTTTGATTTAAGATTTGAGGTTTGGAGTTTCGATTTTAGGATTTGGAGTTTTAAGGTTTTGATTTTAGGGTTTTAAGGTTTTAGGATTTTGATTTTAAGATTTGAGGTTTGGAGTTTCGATTTTAAGATTTGGAGTTTTAAGGTTTCGATTTTAGGGTTTGAGGCTTTATAATTTAGTGCTTTGATTTTAAGGTTTAAATTTTGGGATTTAAGGTTTGGATTTTAGGGTTTTAGTATTTAGGGTTTTGGATTTACGGTTTTAAATTTAGGGTTTCAATTTTAGGGTTTTGAGATTTAGGGTTTTAACTTTTTAATTAAAGAAAACGTGAACATCTCTAAAAATCTCCAACATCTAGGTGGACTTTCGGAGCAAGTTTGATTTTTATGATTTTAAAAAATTAATTTTTCATATATTTTCTTTTTTATGAAAATTTATTATTATTTTATTATTTATTATCTTTTTATAGTTTTTAATTTTAAAATTTTTTATAATAATTTCCCAACATTTAAACGAAATTATTTTTAGAAATATGTTTTTATTTCCTCCAACATCTAGGCAGGAAAAATAATAAAAAAATATTATTCTATTATTATTATTATTTAGAATATTATTTTTTTTAGCATTTTTAATTTTTTTCATTTATTATCCTACTTGTTTTCATTTTATTATTATTAAAAACAATCAAATATTTATTCTAACAAATTTATAATTTTATCATGTATAAATATTAATAATAAAGCTCAAAATAACAAAAATAATAACATATAAAAAATTTAAAAATTAAAAAAAAAAAACATGAACTTGACTGGTCAATGCTGGTCTGATCGGCTCAGCGGTTCGACAGTTTAGACGGTTCGATCAACGGTTTGGTTGAACTGGTTCAAAGTTGGCTGAAGGATGGGACGACGAGTTGGACGCACGGATCTCGAGTCGGATCCGGGTTGACACGCGGATCTCCTTGCCCAAATGACATCGTTTTGCTTATTTGCTTCCTATATAAAAGGCTTTTTTTTTCTTAACGCATTTCTCCCCTTCTTCAGAGAAAAAAATTTTAGAGCCTCTGGGAAAGCTTTAGAGCTTACCAGCGTTCGATTGTCGGCGAGTATGCCGTCGCTTTAGCCACCGTCGATGGTTACCGCTGGTGGTCAAAAAACACCAAAAAAATCTTAAAAGATTCATTTCAACGTCTTTTTTCTGGATCTGGCCTTCTTTTCACCAGAAACAGCCCTGATCGTCATAGATCGGGGCTTAAAGTTTTTCGTCTTCCTAATTTTTTTTTTATAAAATCGAAACTGATGATGATTTTTTTTTTGCAAGTAGCTTGGCACTGGGTTTCTCCCTACGGGGAGTACTATTTATTTTTTTGTAGATTTTTATTTTTCCTCTTTTTTTGTGTTATGGCTGGGTGTTTTTGTGGGTTCTGTAAATGAAAGGATGAAGGGATTGGTTCATGGGTTTTGAGGGTGCTATGGTGGTGTCGGGCGCTGAGTCTTGAGGTTCTGGATGTTGGAAACTTGGTTTGAGTGTAGCTGCTGGCAAGATTTTTTTTTTTTTGGCATCTGAAGATGTGTCTGAGAGTAGGGTGTTTGAGGGTCTAGCCTTCTGGGTTATCTGGTCTGGGAGAGCAGGGTGTCTGTGTGGGATTTCTAGTGTGTTCGAGAGGTCTGTCCAAGGGGAGAGCCCTCTAAAAGGGGAGGAAGCTGATGCTTTAAGGATTGGGGATTTGGGTGGAACAGGTGGTGGCTATAGGTTTGGTTAGGGCAGGGTGTAGGGTGGTTGGGTGTTTGGTTAGGGCAGGCTTTAGGGTGGCTGGTGAGGGGATTGGATAGGCTGTAAAGGGTGGCTAGCCTGGTGGCTGCAGGGGTGGCTGTGCCAAGCATTAGCCCCCTACTTGCCTTCTTTTTTTGTATTTTTTTATTTTTTAATAAATTATTATTAATATCTAAATAACAGAAGAAAATAAATAAATAAATAAAAAATAAAAAAGATACAACAACAGTGAGTTCAGGCCTAAAGAAGAAATTGGGCCTTGACCCATGAACTTGGTAAAAC